AGTTGAACTCCACAGGTCTTAAAGGTTGCCAAGGTTGGACACCCCTATTCTAAGTTGTCTGATTTTTGCCTTTTTTCCACAGAAAGCAGAAGAGCAGATCTATCTCAGTGGTGTATAAAAAAGTTGGCAAATGCCTTTGAACCACAAAACTATAGACTTGGAAGAGACATCACTAGGGGCTAGAGTCCAACTGTCTGAAATCTGCTGTATAATTATTCCATTATTAAGAGGAGGCTATTCAGTCTCTTAAAACTTCCAGAGACAGTGAACTCACAATCTCCATTATTTGGATTATTCCATAACGTTAAGAACATTGTGTTTCATATATGAAGCATGTTCTGTCTTCACCAACCCAGAGTCTAATGCTAAATTTAACCTATTTTACAAAGGTTAAATAACATTCTTCCTTCTAAAAAATGTTATTTTTTATTTTTTGCAATTCCAGAGTTAACATTACTTACTACTAAATGAAGCCAGGTGATCCATGAACCTTCCTAAGATGCAATGGTAACTTAACTGCCTTCTTTTGAATGATGCTTTATGGATATTCAGCCACTGCAAAAAAAGAAAAAAAACCACATCTAGCAATTTTTAAGCGCTGAGAAGTTTCCCGAGTTCCTCTCCATTAGATTCAGGTGAAACAAGCTCTACCTAACTCTGACCCTATAAATCCTAATTTTTCAAAGTGAATCATTGTATAGTATGATGGGTAACTTTCTGTAGTTTCAAAAACAAATTCAAGGGAACTGGCTGCACAGAGTAAAAAGGAATTCATTTTACTGGTTAGCAAGTGGATTAATTTGAGTACAGGTAATCCTTACTTAATGACCACTCATTTAGCAATGGTTTAAACTTATTATTGGTGCCGAGTGATACTTATCGCCTATAGTAGCTGCGGTTATTGCAGCATCTCCATGGTCACATGATCCAGGCACCGGGCAAACGTCTCACAGTTACGACCCTGGGGCATCCTGCAGTCACATGATCTCCATTTGCAACCTGTTGCTGGCTTCCAGCAAGCAAAGTCAATGAGGAAGCGGGCAAAAGATCACAAATGGCAACCACGTGATTATCACGCTTAACCCTGGTGCAGAAGTTGCTTAATGACACCCATCGGAAATGCCAGAACTGGCTGTCATTTAGTTGCACAGTCATGTGATGTTACACTTTACATCTGCGTCACTTAGTGACATAAGGACTGTATTACTACCTGTACTTTGATGGAATCACAAAATGTATGGAGAAATTTTAAGATGTGTATATACTGATAGAAAGTTAGAATAGGTTACGTAGTGAGTTGCAAGGAAAGATTACAGATAGTCCTTGACATATGACTATTCACTTAGCAGCTGTTCAAAATTATGACAGACACCCCCCCCCCAAGGCTACTTATGACCCAGTTTCAAAGTTCATGAGCCCTCTGGTCATGTGATCAGATGTTGGGCCCTTGACAACTGGCCCTCATGCAGGACCATTTGCAGCATCCCATGATCACATGACTGTTTTTGGCATTTGTGCCAGAAACACCCATTAGCTAAAATGGTGTTGTTTAACAACTGGGACAATCACTTAACAACCACCACAAAAAAGGTCATAAAATCAGGTGTGATCATGTAGCAATCTGCTTAATGACCACAACTTATAATCAACTTACAATTACAATTTTTGGCTCATTTACAGTCATCAGCCAAGGACTTCCTGCATTTGCTAAAGAAGCAAAAATAGCTTAATTCAAGAATGTTTTTCCACCCAGTTACATGGAAATACGAATTGGATACATCACAAGAAACATAATCTTGTGGTTAAGGCAGCAGACCAGAAAGCAAGAGACGCTGAGCTGAGTCTTGTCTTAGCTGGGTGACTTTGGGCCTGTCGCTCTCTCTTAAGCCCAGCCCACCTCACAGGGTTGTTGTGAGGAAAATAGGAGGATGAAGATGTGTTGGATACGTTTGCTGCCTTGAGTTATTTGTACAAATAACAAAGGCAGGATATAAATAGATAAACATATAAAAGAAATTTGAGTGTGTTGGGAATGGAGTAGTTAAGAAGTGTGTGATGTAAAACAAGGATTCGAGACACAATGAAGAAGTGCTGAATGAGCGTGGATTGAACACAAAAGTGCACAAACAAGACAGAATGAACAAGAATTGCATCACAAAATTAATACAGGCAGTCCTCAACTTACAACCATTCATTTAGTAACCATTCGAAGTTACAACAGAACTGAAAAAAGTGACTTATGGCCATTTTTCACACTTACAACTGATGGAGCATCCCCATGGTCATGCGATCAAATTTGGCAACTGGTTTCTATTTATGATGGTTGCAGCATCCCGGGGTCATGTGACCCCCTTTTGCAACCTTCTGACAAGCAAAGTCAATGGGGAAGCCAGATTCACATAACAACCGTGTTGTTAAAAACTGCAGTGATTCATTTAACAGCTGTGGCAAGAAAGGTCATAAAATGGGGCAAAATTCACTTAACAAATGTCTGACTTAGCAACATAGATTTTGGGCTCAACTGTAGTCATAATTTGAGGACTATCTGTACCTGAAGGAAGAATGGACAGGAAAGGGAAAACTCTGAAAATCATGGTTGCTGAAGAGGATATTCCAAAAAGAGGAGTGAGAACAAAAGGCAACCGTATAAAGCAGGGGGTCTTCAAACTTGGCCCTTTTATGACTTGTGGACTTCAACTCCCAGAATTCCTCAGCCAGGCACCCTGGCTGTGGAATTCTGGGAGTTGAAGTCCACAAGTCATAAAAGGGCCAAACTTGAAGACCCCTGGTATAAAGTGTTGCATGGATGTATGTGGAATTCCCCAGCCAGCATGTGTGGGCTTCAACTCCCAGAATTCCCCCAGCCAACATAGTGGCTAGGGAACTCTGGGAGTTGAAGTCCATGCATCTTAAAATTGCTGATGTTGAGAAACACTGCTTTACATCCCTATAAAGTCTCCTCTAAACCAGCTCAACTCTTGGGGGATTCATGAACTGTTCATACATGTAGTTTACTTGGAAAGTAGTTTGGCCCTGGCTTTCTTCTTAGGCATTTTTCTAACTTTCCAGCCTGCGGGGGAAAAAAAATCTCCCATGCAAAAAAGTCTGATAGCGTTTCATCTGGAACTGGAGCTGCTGCCCCCTAGAGGGCGACAACCGCTACATCGCACCCTGATCATCTCAACCGCTCCTTTCCTCCCTCCTTTCCGAGATCGCTGCTTACGTCAGCGCCACGCGCCCCCTCGTCCAATGAGCGGGAGCCGCCGGCGGCGCACGCGCAGACCCCGCCCGCGTGGTTCCTCACGGCACGCGCTTCCCCGCTTTTGCTGCCCACCCCCCCTTTCCCCCCCCACCCACGCGCATGCCCTTTTTCAGGCTCTTCTTTCTCCCGCTTCCCCTCCCACCGAAATCACCTCCCCGGCTTATTTTATTTTATTGATTTGTTTCTTCCTTCACTCTTTTCGTTCCACCGAAGCCGGCTTTGCTCTGCCTATACCCTCGGCCGGCCTGCCGACGTTCAACGATACCTGCTCCGGACAAACCTCCGGGCGGAAGGTCCTTAATCTTCCTGTCTCTCTTTCTTTTCTTTCCCCTCCCTGTTGATGCTTTGCCGGCGCGCGCGCACGCGCCTCCTCCCGCTCCCGCTCGAACGTGCTCGGGCCCGATCGGGGGTGGGCGGGGCATCAGGGAGGTCGAGCACGCGGGCACCTCCTTTTCTCCCCCACCGCTCCCGTTGGGCACCGCCCCCTTCCGCTTTCCCGCCTTTTCGGCGCGCCCGCGCGCCCAGGAATGTTCTTTCGAGGCGGGCACGCGCTCCCCAGGTGTCCGTTTTAGTATGAACGAGCGAGAAGGGAGGAAGAGGAAGGCGAGACTATAACTCAGGGGTCGTCAAACTTGGCCCTTTTATGACTTGTGGACTTCAACTCCCAGAATTCCTCAGCCAGCGTGCCTGGCTGAGGAATTCTGGGAGTTGAAGTCCACAAGTCATAAAAGGGCCAAGTTTGAAGAGCTTTGCTATAACTATTTGGGTGAGCACGCCGGCCCTCCCTCCCCTCCCGTTAAAAAAATTAGCCATTACTATGGGAAATAAGCCCTCAAATGCGAACTTAATTAGCTCTAAAATGGGTCGTTAGCAGTTAAAATGAACCATTAGCAATTAAAATAGGAAATTAATGACGACAATAATGGCCGTTAAATCAAGCGCTTCTCAACCTCAGGCATTTAAGACCTGGGGACTTCAACTCCCGGAATTCTGGCTGGGGAATTCTGGGAGTTGAAGTCCACATATCTCAAGTTTCTGAATATCTATGGAGAGTCTCGATCATTCGCCTTGTCCCAAAGGTGCTTTTCAAAAGGCAACTTAATTGGGTTAAGTTTCTGAAATTGAGAAACACTGTTTGGGGAGCACCATTCAGAGCCTGGCTCTTAGCCTTTTATTATAAGTCACCCACTGAGTCCATTCATTCAGAATGAAATTCCAGTAGACTTGCCAAATCCTGTTTTACAAGAGCTTCTTCCTCCATTTCTTGCATTGATCGACCCTCGCTTTCTTGCAGGCTTCTTCCTGCATCCTTCCTTCCCTTTACTTCTTTTTCATTCCTTCCCCCCCTCCCTTTATTTTTTCCTTCCTTCTTTCCATTACCCTCCCTCCATTTTCCCTTCCATTACCCCCTCTCCCTTTATTTTTCCTTCCTTCCCTTTACTTCTTTCCTTCCTTCCATTAACCTCCCTCCATTTTTTCCTTTCTTTGCCGTCCATCTCGCTGCCAAAGCGACTCTAGGAGAGGTGCGCTACCTTGGGCTGAGACACCCAGGTTCCCCCAGATCACCCCGTCATTCCTAACTGACTGTAGCACACCCCTTCCAATCGCTATTGCGTTCTTCCCATCAAGAATTAAATCGTGGGCACACAACAGGTAAAAATCCTGCCCATCCGCGTCCGCTCTCTAGAAATAGTCCTGCCCGGAACTTTTGTGACGGCTGCGTGTTTCCCCCGGATCGCTTAAGGGTCGGGACGAGCAAGATGGCGGCGGCTGCCGTGGATCCACGTGGGGAAGCGAAAGTTCTCGGCGCTGAATTGGAAGAAAGCGATAATGGTAAAGCTGGGAGGGGGGGGATTTGCAACTGGTTAGCCGGCTAATAGATGGCCGATGGGAGAAGAGGCAGCGGCAGCTGTGGAGAAAGACAAAAAGGGTTTCTGCTTAAAAAGCGACGGACAAATTAAAACCGACTCCTGTATTTATAACGGGAAGTGTAGGATAAAGGGGTCCCTGTTGGGGGTGTCTGGTTAACATCGCCGCCTTTTCCAGCTCATTAGAACTGGTGTCTGTAGCTTTTTCCATTTCTCAGCCTCCCACATGATTATGGGTCACTCGCTTTTCTTGGGTTGCCAATAAAAGAATATTTGTAGCTCGGTGTTGAAATGAAGGGTTTTTTCTGCCCTCGGAGCTTGCTTGTTTTCTTGCAGACATCAGTGGTAGGCACTGATGATGTTATCTAGTTTGGGTAATTGAAATTTATGCCAGAAAACAAGTAAGCTCAGAGAGCACCAAGGAGCCCTCATTTTCTTGGGTTGATTTATTTCTTTGCTCGATATTAATTGCCGCTAGAAAAGAATATTTGTAGCTCAGAGTTGAATTGTGGGGACCTTGGTGCTCTCTGAGCTTGGTTGTTTGCTTGCAGATGTTTCATTTTCCAACTAGGTAACATCAGTACTAGCAATGTTATCTACCAATGAAATGTCTGCAAGAAAACAACCAAGCTCAGAGCACTAAGGATCTCACGATATTAATTGCTTCACAAAAGGCAGTCTTCTTGCCCCTCCAAACCTTACGCTGATGAAGTTTCCTCATAAGGTAGTGGAATTGAGAGTTTATGTTGGTGTGGAGCCTTGGCGACCACATAAAATTTCCCCCTGGAGGATCTGTTTTCAACTTGATCCTTCAGGTGTTAAAACTGTTCACTTATAGCCATTGTAACTCAGTCTACCTTCCTGGCTGCTGGTCTCTTTCCTTCCACCTTTCCCAGCATTAGATTCTTCCCCAAAGAGCTGGGTCTTTGATCTTATATCCAAAGTAGGATCATTTGAGCCTGTAATTTGCATCTTCAGTGAGAATTCTGGGTTGATTTGTTTGATGATTCATTGGTTTGTTTTCTTGGCTATCTTACTGTCGATACTCTATCCTGCTTCAGGGTCCAACATTCACTTTCATAGTGTTCACAGGGAATACTGTTGCTTATGTTATTGTGATCTTTGTAGATATATCATGTGATCACATATCACAGCATCTGAATATTTTTTCCAAGGCCTTCATGGCTGCTTGCGACAAGGGCTGGTCCATTGCATATTTGTTGACTGCTTGTTCCTTTAGCGGTTCTCAACCTGTGGGTCGCAATCCCTTTGGGGGCCGAACGACCCTTTCACAGGGGTCGCCTAAGACAGGGCTTTTCAACCAGTGGTACGGGTACCACCTGTGGTACATTGGCACCTGGCAGGTGGTACGCGACCATCCTAGAAAAGTAGCGGGGGAGGGGAATGAGCTGAACCAGTGGCAGCACCGCACAAACCTGAGCGAGAGATGGATGGAGCTGCAGGGCTGTCAGGGCTGTTAGCTGGAGCTCGGCACTGATCCTGGCACTTCTGCTGAGCCCAGAAGAAGCACCAATCAGCTGGAATGTTGCAGCATCTCCAGGGTCTTGTGATTTACATTCAGATGCTTGGCAACTGATTCATATTTATGACGGTCACAGTATCCCAGGGTCATGTGAAGTGACCAAAACCTGCTGCAACCACCCAGCAGATGGGGGAAATAAAAACCAAACACCCCCCCCCCCCCGCTGCCAATCCTTAACAGAAATGCTCACAACAATGAAAACCTTGGACAGGAGGAAGAGGGCCGCCAGGCACTGTCTTGCTTAGCTGTGGCTTGAGGGGCACTTTTTTCAGTGCCATTGTAACTTCGAACAGTCACTAAGCGAACTGTTGTAAGTCGAGGATTACCTGTGCTTTATCACTTTTTTCCTTTTTTTCCTTTTTTTTGGGGGGGTCATTAAGTTTTTGACACCTTGCTAGGCGACTGGTGGTACTCGGATACTGCCATATCCTAAAAGTGGTACAATGGGTGAAAAGGTTGAAAAGCCTTGGCCTAAGACCATCGGAAAACACATATTTCCGATGGTCTTAGGAACCGAGACACCACTCCTCTATCTGTCTCCAGGTGGGTCCGCCCACATGCAGATACGCCCACATACGAGTACCCGGCGTGATGACATCATCGCGCCAACCCTATAACATACACCCCGTACAAATACAGGTGTATGTGACAGGGTTTGGCGCCATAATGTACTTATGTGGACCAGTCACATGTGTAGAGAGCAGCTGCTGTGTTGAAAGCAGCTACTCTGTTGAAAGCAGCAATATCGGAGGTAAAAGGACACTTCATGAATTATAATTACTGGGTAAATGTAAAATCATGTACTGTAAAATCATCAACTATTGCAAAAAAAAATAATATCTGTACCATGGGAACTTACGGTAATCTGGATGCTGATCGGTCTTTTTATATTCAGCTGTGATTGATGTGAATACTGCCCCCTTGTGATTGTAACAGGTGTGTAAAAACAACAACAGAGAGAATGGTAAATCATAGGAAACTTTAATGAACTGTATTGACTGAACTATGCCATGTATCATCTTTTGTATGATTGAAGCTATTGTTATATATTATTTTCATTAGCAAACCATCCCATGACAATGAATCGTGTAGAGAAGAACGTTAAGAAAAGAAAATATAGTGAGGATTTTTTACAGTATGGTTTTACCTCAATAATTACAGCAGGAATTGAGAAACCACAATGTGTTATTTGTTGTGAAGTTCTATCAGCCGAATCTATAAAGCCGAACAAACTAAAAAACCATTTTGATAGCAAGCATCCGAGCTTTGCCGGCAAGGATACCAACTGTTTTAGAAGCAAAGCTGATGGACTCAAGAAAGCCAGACTTGACACTGGTGGCAAGTACCCCGAACAAAACATAGCAGCCGTTGAAGCTTCATATTTGGTGGCACTCAGAATCGCCAGAGCTATGAAACCTCACTCCATTGCTGAGGATTTACTGTTGCCAGCAGCCAAAGACATTGTTCGAGTTATGATCGGAGACGAATTTGTTACGAAATTGAGTGCAATTTCCTTATCTAATGACATTGTCTGCAGAAGAATAGATGACATGTCTGCTGATATTCTTGATCAGGTAATCCAAGAAATTAAATCTGCTCTGCTTCCAATATTTAGTATCCAGCTTGATGAATCTACAGACGTTGCAAACTGTTCACAGTTACTGGTTTACGTGAGGTATATTAATGATGGCGACTTTAAAGATGAGTTTCTTTTTTGCAAACCTCTTGAAACGACAACTACTGCACGTGATGTATTTGACACAGTTGGTTCATTTCTGAAAGAGCATAAGATCTCTTGGGAAACGGTTTGTGGTGTTTGCACAGATGGTGCTCCAGCTATGCTAGGATGTCAATCTGGATTTCAACGTTTGGTACTGAATGAATCACCAAAAGTCATCGGAACTCACTGTATGATTCATCGGCAAATATTAGCAACAAAGACGCTGCCACAAGAGTTACAAGAAGTAATGAAAAGCGTCATAAGTTCTGTCAATTTTGTAAAGGCGAGCAGTTTAAACAGTCGACTGTTTTCGCAACTGTGCAACGAGTTGGATGCGCCGAAGAGTGCTCTGCTATTTCACACTGAAGTGAGATGGTTGTCGAGAGGAAAAGTTTTAAAACGTGTTTTTGAGCTTCGTGATGAACTCAAAACGTTTTTTAATCAGAAAGCAAGACCGCAGTTCGAAGCACTTTTCAGCGATAAAAGTGAACTGCAGAAAATAGCTTACTTGGTTGACATCTTTGCCATCTTGAATGAGTTAAATTTATCACTGCAAGGACCAAATGCAACGTGCCTCGATTTGTCTGAAAAGATCCGATCATTCCAAATGAAACTTCAGCTGTGGCAAAAAAAATTGGATGAAAATAAAATTTACATGTTGCCTACCTTATCTGCTTTCTTTGAGGAACATGACATTGAACCAGACAAAAGGATTACGATGATAATTTCTGTGAAAGAACACTTGCACATGCTTGCAGACGAAATTTCATCGTACTTTCCAAATCTACCTGACACCCCATTTGCACTTGCCAGAAGCCCATTCACAGTCAAAGTTGAAAATGTTCCTGAGACAGCACAAGAGGAGTTCATTGAACTTATTAACAGCGATGCAGTGAGAACTGATTTCTCTACAATGCCAGTTACAAAATTCTGGATCAAGTGTTTGCAGTCATATCCTGTTCTGTCTGAGACTGTGTTGTGCCTTCTTCTTCCATTTCCAACAACATATCTTTGTGTAACAGGGTTTTCCAGCTTGTTGGTTATCAAGTCTAAATACAGAAGTAGACTTGTTGTGGAAGATGATCTTCGTTGTGCTCTTGCAAAGACTGCCCCAAAAATTTCTGATCTGATGAGAAAGAAGCAATCTCAACCTTCGCACTGACGTTGGCTTTTTACGCATACTGTCGCAAAATGTAGCAATGTAGTTTACAGTTGTTATATTAAGACTGTTACCCATGCTATACCATGCGTCAAGACAAAAATTCATTTATTTGTAATTAGAAATAAATATTTCACAATATATAATTACATATTGTTTTTGTGATTAATCACTATGCTTTAATTATGTTCAATTTGTAACAATGAAAATACATCCTGCATATCAGATATTTACATTACGATTCATAACAGTAGCAAAATTACAGTTATGAGGTAGCAACGAAAATAATTTTATGGTTGGGGGTCACCACAACATGAGGAACTGTATTAGAGGGTCGCGGCATTAGGAAGGTTGAGAACCACTGCTTTATTGTTAATGGGTAATCCTAAAAGGAAGAAATCTACCTCTTCATTGTCAATCCTAAAACTGGTTGTTGTACCTTTGTCATTAGATCTTTATATTTGATTTTGGGAGAAAAGATTTCCATTTTTGGGCTATCAAGTAACCAAATTAGCATAGCACAGATAATTGAAGTTTCTTCTTCCAATTTTTTTTCTTCATATCTTCTTTCAATCCAAATTCCCTTAATATATATTCAGACTGTTGAATAAATAGGGTGCTCTACGCTCCTAATCCTTAGACCAGTGGTGGCGAACCTATGGCACGGGTGCCAGAGGCGGCACTCGGAGCCCTCTCTGTGGACACACGTGCCGTTGCCCCAGACTTGCCTCCCCCGCGACCCCCTCCTCACCAGCAGCCCTCCTGGAGGACAATTGCCCCCGAGCGTGGCCCACACAGAGCAGCGCAGCCAAGGACATAGCAGCCAGGCAGCATAGACAAGACTCTGCCCTCATGCCCCATTGCGCACAGTTGATGCTGCGGGGCACGGACAGAGGGCGTGGCTGCCATGGCGCTGCTGGGCGATCGGTGGGCCCTGGAGGCGGTGAGTGGCCTTGTGGGCAGGCGGGGTGGGGGCAGGGCAGGGGGTGGAGCGGGGGCGGGGCCAGTTTTTGGGCACTCTGTCTCTAAAGGTTCGCCATCACTGCCTTAGACAGTTCAGAAAGATATAGTGATCAATAGTATCAAAATCCGTCTGAGATGAAGCAGATGTAGATGGATTGCACTACCCCATCTTGGTCCTGCCAGAAATCATCTTGGTTGCGCAAAATGCACGTTCTCATTGTTTCCTTGAAACGAAACACGCTCCCCTTGTTCTTTGTGGGCTATTAGTTAAAAACAGTGATGGAGTTTTTACTTGAATTAAGTTACAAAAATTTAGATAATGGATATGGTGCAAGTAACAAGGATATTCTGTTTCTTTTAGGATCTGAGTGGAGTTCAGGGGTTCCCGAAGATAGCTTTTCAAGTGATGATGGAGAGCAGGATGATGAAGTTGATGATACACCTAAGACCCCAGATACACCTAAAGATGAAGCAGAATCCAAAGAAGCAGGAAACGCTGGATGGGCTGAAGCCATGGCCAAAGTGCTTAACAAAAAGGTTTCTAGTGACAAGCCCACTATCCTGTTGAAAAACAAGGAGCAGGATGTAGAGCGAAAAAAAGAAAAACAAGAAAGATTGGAGCAGAGGAAGAAGGTAGGGGAAGCATATTTACTGCTAGCATTCAAGAGATGCGCTATAAGGACCCATCCCACTTTACATCTTAAGAAGACAGAACTCTTGGAATATCTCTTCCAGCAGGCATCTTTATTAAGAGAAGATGGTTGCAGGCGTTCTAGACAGGATCTGAGGGGCCAACCCCTACCATTCAATGTTTTAAGTGTTCCCAAGAGCGACCCAGGCGTTACATTTCCACCCCTTTTTCCTCACTGCCTGCAGAAGGGAGACTTCAGAGAGACAGTAGATGAAAGGCTATGGCCATATTGTTATGGTCAGTCCTCTTGATAAGAATCACATCCAGTCCTTTGTAATTTAAATGAAGGAAGTGAGAGTCATAAACCCCCTTGCTCCCTCCTCCCCTTTCGTAGCATGACAGAATCCACAAAGAGTAAGAAATGGATCTTTTTTCAGAGTAGGTAGCTAGAAATGAAATATAATTGAATTCTGACATGCGCAGTAGGTTGGGATATGGATCATCCTCAGCGTATGATCACAATTGGGATCAGAATTTCCACTGCTAAGCAAGGCGGTTTTTGAGTAACTTCCACCCGACTTTTTTGCCATCGTCGTTAAGCGAATCACTGCACTTGTTAATCACATGGGTGTTAAGGAAATTCAGCTTCCCCCATTGATTTTGCTTGTCAGAAGCTGGCTGGGAAGATTGCAAATGGTGATCCCATGGCCTGAGACCAGCCATGTAACTACATGCTGGTTGCCAACTGCCCTAATTTTCATCACAAAACCATTGGGATGCTGCAATGGTCTTAAGTGCAAGGACAATATTGTCAAGTCACTTTTTTTTCAGTGCCATTGTAACTTTGAACAGTCACTAAATGAATGGTCGTTAAGTCAAGGATTCCCTATGAAATCACAAAACCCTAATTTTGGCAAGTTATCTATTGTTAACTAATTCTGTCTAGAGCAGGGGTAGGCAACCTTGGCTCTTTTATGACTCGTGGACTTCAACTCCCAGAATTCCTGAGCCGGCATGGCTCAGCATGGAAACCTCTCCATTTCTCCTCAGCATGGCTGGCTCAGGAATTCTGGGAGTTGAAGTCCACGAGTCATAAAAGAGCCAAGGTTACCTACCCCTGGTCTAAGCCTTGAAGCTTTCCCTCTCTTATTAATAACAGCATATTAAATGGAGTTACTAGTTGCTAAATAAGTTGTATGCAGGACACAGAGTGTAAATCAGTGTTTCTCAATCTTGGCAACTTTAAAATGTGTGCACCTCAACTCCCAGAATTCCCCAGGCAGAAACCCAATGAACCCCCACCCCCCTGGCAACAACAACTAAACCGTTGATGGGCTCCGTATCAGCCTGGGGTCATCAGGCCAGCTGACCAAACCATATCTTCAGAGCCTTTTAAAAACACATAGGATGGGGGCCAATCCTATCTCTACAGGGATGATGCTCCACAGAGAGGAAGCCACTATGCAGAAGGGCCGTCTTGGTCCTATCAGATGGGCCTCCTTAAGAGAGGGAACCCGTAGCATTCTTTGCCTCCCTGCTCTGGTAGGTCAAGTAGACACAACTGGGAAAAAGACAGTCTTTCAAATAAGCTGGCCTTAAGCCATGTAGGGCTTTAAACAGGTCAGCCAGGACCTTGAATTGGAGCCAGAAGCCAATCAGCAAGCAGGGCAGCTCCCGTAAGAGAGATGACATGTGTGCCAATCCAGAGTTGCACAAAACTACGTGGGCTTCCACATTTTGAACTAACTGAAGCTTCTGGGTACTTTTGAAGAATACTTTTTCAATTTCATTGAAAGGAAGCAAATGTATCCTTCCTGCGGGGGTGTGTGTGTGTGTGTGTAATTCTTCTCTGTGTCTTCCCTAAAGTTGCTCTTTAGTGTGGAAGAGTGAGTATCAGTCATCGTAACGCCAGTGTTCTCCTGTAGCAGATAATAGCTTGGAGGGTGTTTTCATGCCAACCTTTTAACTAGAAAGGGTTGATTCTTCCTTCAGTGCTTTCTGTTAAGTGGCTAATTTCTTCCCTGTGTTTGTAACCCAGCTGAATAAAAAGCGAGAATGGGAAATGCTGTGCCGAGTGAAGCCAAATGTTGTCACAGACAGAGAAGTTGAGAGAAACCTTCAGAGGATTGCCACAAGGTAAAAATGAACGTTTGGGCTTTGGAAAGATTTTCCGGCGTATAAGACGACTGGGCGTATAAGACGACCCCCAACTTTTCCAGTTAAAATATAGAGTTTGAGCGAGGGGGGGGGAGAGAAAACTTGATGAGTAATATGCCAAACCACATGTGTAAAGGAATAAAATAGAATACCCGTATTTTCCGGCGTATAAGACGACTGGGCGTATAAGACGACCCCCGACTTTTGAGAAGATTTTCAGGGTTTAGAAAGTCGTCTTATATGCCGGAAAATACAGTACTTTTATAAATAACTCAAGGCAGTGATTATAACTAATATTCCTTCCTCCTCCTATTTTCCTCACAACAACCACCCTGTGAGGTGGGTTGGACTGTGATTAGAGGGACTGGCCCAAAGTCCCTGAGCCGGCTTTCGTCCCTAAGGCGGGATGAGAACTCGCAAGCTTTTTGTGATTGGCCCAAAGTCATCTGCTGGCCTCCATGCCTAAAGTGGGACTAAAACTCACAGTCTCCTGGTGATTGGCCTAAAGTCACCAAGCCGGCTTTCATGCCTAAGGTGGGATTAGAACTCACAGTCTCCTGGTTTCTAGCCTGGTACCTTAACCACTACAGCAAAGCAAAGCAAAAAGCTTTGCAGGATGATCTGCCTCTGATCAAATCAAATTCTTGGCTGATTTGAGTGACTGGAATGATTTATATATGTGTCTATCTCATAAAATATCAGCAAAAGAGTTCAGATGTCTTATAAAAAAACATAAAATGTGGTTTCAACCAGTGGTACGGGTACCACCTGTAGTACATTGGCACCTGGTAGGTGGTACGTGACCATCCTAGAAAAGGTAGTGGTAGTGGGGGAGGGGAATGAGCTGAACCGGTGGCAGCACCGCACAAGCCTGAGCGAGAGATGGCTGGAGCTGCAGGGCTGTCAGGGCTCAGCGGAAGCGCCAGGATCAGCGCCAGGCTCCAGCTGGAGCTCGGCACTGATCCTGGCGCTTCCACTGAGCCCAGAAGAAGCGCCGATCAGCTGGAATGTTGCAGCATCTCCAGGGTCTTGTGATTTACATTCAGATGCTTGGCAACTGATTCATATTTATGACGGTCACAGTGTCCCAGGGTCATGTGAAGTGACCAAAACCTGCTGCAACCACCCAGCAGACGGGGGGAATAAAAGCCAAACACCCCCCCACCCCACCCCCGCTGTCAATCCTCAACAGAAACGCTCACAACAATGAAAACCTCGGACAGGAGGAAGAGAGTCGCTGGGTGGGCAGGCAGGTGTCTTGCTCGGCTGTGGCTTGGGGGGGCACTTTTTTCAGTGCCATTGTAACTTCGAACAGTCACTAAGCGAACTGTTGTAAGTCGAGGACTACCTATACTTTATCACTTTTTCCCTTTTTTGGGGGGTCATCAAGTTTTTGACACCTTGCTAGGCGACTGGTGATACTCGGATGTTGCCATATCCTAAAAATTGTACAATGGGTGAAAAGGTTGAAAAGCCCTGGTTTAGACTGTAATGTATTAAGTCAGAGTTCCCCGTTTCCGGGTTGGTGGCCTGGAGGGGGGATGGTTTTGTGGGAGGGACAGGTGCGTGCATGCGTGCACGAGCACCTGTTGCTTACGCAAGTGAGGCCCCGAGCACTTTTGCACGTGAGGCTCCTAGTGCCCACGACACTCATGCAAGTGAGGCCGTGAGCCCCCACGACACTCGTGCGAGTGGGGCCCCGAGTGTCCATGATGCTCGCAGGAGTGGGGCTGCGTGTGTGCACACCAACCAGCCACTCATGCAACCTGGTTGCGAATAGGCCATGGACCGCTAGTGGGCTGTGGCCCATAGGTTGGGGACCTCTGTATTAAGTAACTAAGCTGGATTTCTTTGACTTTTGAATAAACTTGGCAATTGGGAAAAAATATTTCTGATATCCTAACCCTACAGTTAGTCCTTTATTTACAACCACTCATTTGATGACTATTCAAAGTTACTAGCCCGTCACAACATCCCCATGGTTAGGTGATCAAAATTCAGACACTTGGCAACTGGCATAAATATACAACAGTTGCAGGGATCATGTGATCTCCATTTGCGACCGTCTGACAAGCCGAGTCAATGGGGGAGGGGAGCCGGATTTTCTTAACAATTGTAGCCAAAAAAAGGACCTAAAACTGGCACGACTCACTTAAGTGCTCTCCTTAGCAATGAAAATTCTGGTCCCAATTGTGGTCATAAATTGAAGACCAGCTATAATTATGCTTCCTTGTTGAAGCTGTGTCAGGGGGGCCATAAACCTTGCTTCTGTCATTAAGCCTGGCTGCCTAATGATTCCTTTTAATTTCCAGGGGTGTGGTTCAGTTGTTCAATGCAGTCCGGAAGCACCAAACCAATGTGGATGAGAAGATGAAAGAAGCAGGCAGTTCTGAGAGGAAACGAGCTAAATTGATCTCCTCGGTTTCCAAGAGAGATTTCATCAACGTCCTCCGAGGAACGGATGGAAAAGAAATGGAACAAAATCCTGCTAGGAAGTCATCAAACAGCCGTCAGGTAAGGGATGTTCAGTCATTTTTTTTTTCAGTGCTGTCATAACTTTGAACAGTTCCTAAACAAATGATTTCTAAGTCAAAGATACTCCGTAAATGAATTTGAAAGGAATAGGAATATTCTTTATTGGCCAGATGTGATTGGACAAGGAATTGTCTCCAGTGCATAAGCTCTCAGTGTACATACAAACAACTAAGCGATAAGGTCACATATCATAAATCATAAGATACAATCATAAATGAGATTACATACAACAAGTGATAAATCATAAGGTACCAATAGGAGAAGGTAGTAGGAAAGATGAGAAGATGAGAAGGATAATAGCAATACAGCCCTACTACATGGGTAAATACCTTTAGGCATAAGACAGTGCTGTGGGAATGCGATGTTTCGCAGAGTGATGGCATGGAGGAAAAACTGTCTTTGTGTCCAGTTGTTTTGGTATGCAATACACTTGTGGTGGCAGCCTGAGGGAGAAGTGGAAACAGTTTATGTCCAGGATGCAAGGGGTCTGTAGATATTTTCTTAGCCATCTTTCTGGCTTGTGCAGTATACAGGCCTTGGTGTATCTGAGATGGAGAGGGTAGCGATAGTTGATAGTGGTCTCCTCTCAAACCGACAGTAGAACACATTCAGGTGTTAACTGCTGGTGGTCAATAGGAGCCGTGGTGGCGCAGTGGTTAGAATGCAGTGTTGCAGGCTAACTCAGAGTTCACTGCCAGGAGTTCAATTCTGACTGGCTGAAGATTGACTCAGCCTTCCATCCTTCCAAGATTGATAAAATGAGGACCCAGATTGTTGGGGGCAAGATGGTGACTCTGTAAACTGCTTAGAGAGGGCTGTAAAGCACTGTGAAGTATAAGTATATAAGTATGCTAGCTGTACCCAGCCACGCATTGCTGTGGCTCAGTCTGGTAAAAGCGTGTGTTGCTTTTACGTCCAACAGATGGCGCTGTTTTTCAAAAACATGTTTTTACCTGTCACAGGTGTGACATCTATATAATATAGGTATATAAAACACGCGCGCATTCGAATGCAACGTTGTGTCAAAATTTCAAAGCAATCGGTGAAGAACTTTCGGAGATTTAAGATTTTGAACAAACGAACATTTACATTTTTATTTATATATAAGATAAGTCTAAGTTCTGTTGCTATTGCTAAATTCTTCCTTGAGCAGGGTAAGATAACGCTAATCTTGAAGAAAGCAACAGTCTTCTCTAGTCTCTCAATTCAGGCATACAGGGATGCTACCATCCTACCTCCAACTTTCCATTTCAGTTATCGTCTGCTGAACTTTCCTCTACTTTCCATTCCCAAATTCTCAGGATAAGTCGAAATCCGAAGAAGCTCCAGCATGGAGTATATTGCGAGACGATTACATGATGGGAGCCTCGATGAAGGACTGGGATAAAGAAAGTGAAGAGGAGAACAATGCTGGAGAAGGCAGCAGCGTCAAGCAGGAGAGTGGAAGTGATTCAGATCGATAATATTCAGAGTCATCCAGAAATCCAAGGGTATTTTTGACACTGTGTGTAGGGATTGGGCTTTAAAGGACGCCTTTTTATACACAGACCACCTTAAAGAACATGACACTTGGGCAGCCGATAAATTTAAATAAATAACAGTAATTTTAACAATGGATTAGCTGACTGTCCTGTGACTCTGTAACAATATTTTGGTCAACTTGGCCAATCCAAATGCCATTGCATAGCTATGAATACTTTGTAAGGTACCTGGAGTCTTAAACTGGAGTGGGTTATACATATGTCTATATGCTGTACCTTTGCAGTCAGGAAAGGGGGATGGGTTTTGAAGTGGAAACTAGATGGAGGGTCCCATCAGGCACCCCATCAGGCACACCATCAGGCACCCCATCATTAAATGAACTCCCCCCAGAGATCCGGATTATTCCAGATCTCCCCTCCTTCCGCCGTGCCCTCAAGACATGGCTTTTCCATCAAGCGGGATTGGCCTAGGGGGGGGATTTTATAGGGATTTTAATAGGGATTTTATAATTTTTCTAATACAGGTTATCTAATATATATTTTAATTTGGCTTTTAGATATTTATTGTATTGCTATGTTTTTACTTACCTGTAAGCCGCCCTGAGTCCCTCGGGAGAAGGGCGGGGTATAAATTAAAGTAATAATAATAATAATAATAATAATAATAATAATAATAATAATAATAATAATAATAATAATAATAATAATAATAAAATCAGTCATTTTACTTTGCAGGTTTATTTGAAGTTTCACTGTTTATATATTGACTTTGTAAAAGCCCGAGATCATAAGATTGTGCTGAGGGTTGGTCTGTAATGGCTCAGTCACACCTGCCTGGCACCAGTTAAAAGCAAAGAATCTCTTCTACTTCAGTTAGCACAATGAAGCAAGAGTATTTCTTTCTTTTTTGTTGTTTCTTACTTAGAAACAGGTAAAATAGACTACTTCTGTAATAGGAGAAAATGTGTATTTATCCTTTTCCCCTTATTTATAAAAGCAGCTGTGAAGTGTTCGTTTTCATTAGATCGATTTCAAATCTGCGAAACCTAGGGAGAAAACTTTCATTTGTGACTTCAGTGGAAAACAGAGGTTTTGAGGAAACGTGCAAATTTAGGGAAGAAATTCTACGATTCCTGCTTATTCATTTCACAGACTTAAAGCGGCCATTTGGCATTTCAGAAGAAAAGTATAACTGTTAACCGAAAAGTTCTTTGTTATATATACTGTATATTTTGTTTTCTTTTTTGTGTATACAAGTAATCCTCGACTTACCGTATTTTTCCGCCTATAAGGCGCACCCTTGTATAACACGCTCCGCGCCGATCAGCTGTTCGGCGGAGCACCAAACAGCTGAGCCGGCAAATCCGGAAGTTCAGCCGACCGACGATCTTGCATCCCCCCCTTAGTGGCAAGCCCAGGCGGCATGGCAACCCAGACAGGCATGCCCTGGGCTGCGGAGGTTACCATTATTTTTCCGTGTATAAGACGCACCTGATTTTTGAACAGGGTGTTGGCAAGAAAAAAATAGCATCTTATACACGGAAAAATACGGTAAGGATCGTAAATGAGCCTGCCAATTACGGTCGGAGGTTGTGATGGTTGTAAAGCTGGTCATCACTAGACTCATTTCTACAATGTTTTTGTGGTCATCATTAAGTGAACACTGCAGTTGTCAAGTGAGCCCAGTGTTCACAAGGTGGCAAATGGGCCTGTTGCTGGAAACCAGAAATAAAAAAACGGTTTCTGGCAAAACCATTGTAAATTACAGTCATATGACTAAAATCTGGCTTCTTACCATAGTTCCCATAAATATAACATTACAGTAAACATAGTTAATATTTCCCCTAAGCTGTGTCAGTCGAATATGGAAGTAGATGTGGCCTTTCATGTTTCAATCCTATATTGCCATATTAATATCTATAGGCAGAGCATAATGCATGAATGAAAAAAATGCAAGCATTTGCTGTTTTTAATGCAAGATTCATATCTCGAGCAAATGGTTGTAGAACTGGACCCGAATTCTGTCTTTTGTAAAAAACTGAGCAGAGAAAGAAACAACGTGAAATGTTTGTATATTGTACAGTACAGGTAATCCCCGAGTTGCGAGCGTTTCCTTAGCGAACGTTCACAGTTACACGAAGTTTATGAAGAAACTCCTGAAATTAGGAACGTTGCCGCACCACGAATGACCGCAGTGGCACTACAACATTCACTCTGGCTATTCCCCCCCCCCCCGGGTCTCCCTAGGCACCAGGCCTTGGATACTCACCTTGCGAAGATCGAGATCCTTCGCTTTCTTGGATGCTCCAGGCCTTCGATTTGTTCGCAGAGAATGGAGGCCTAAAATAACACAAGATCACGCGACATCAGTGGCGCAAGATCTCACACTACTGATCTCACGGTACTTTAGTTTAGGCCTCTGTTCGCTACAACAGAGAATGGAACCGAAGCCGGGGGATGCTTCTGTGTGTGCCTCTGAAGGCCCGATCTGGGCCTCGGAGGCCTCCTCCTGGCCACTGCCACCCGCAAATGAGGCCGGGAGACGCTTCCGCGTGCCTCCAAAGGCCTGATCCAGATGTCGGAGGGCTTTTCCGGGCCACTGCGCCCAGAAATGAAGCTGGGGGATGTTTCTGTGTGTGCCTCTGAAGGCCCAGTTTGGGCCTCGGAGGCCTCCTCCAGACCACTGCCACCTGGAAATGAGCTCGGGGGACGCTTCTGCGTGCCTCCAAAGGCCCGATCTGGGCCTTGGAGGCCTTCTCCTGGCCACTGCCACCCGGAAATGAGGCCGGGGGATGCTTCCGCGTGCCTCCAAAGGTCCGATCTGGGCATCGGAGGGCTTTTCCAGGACTTCTGGAAGTGGCTTCCATACACTTCCGCAGGTCTGTTCTGAGCCTGGGAGGCCTCCGAGGCCCAGAATGGAGGCCGTGGGCGGTGGCCACATGCTTCCAGACGGTGGCCACATGCTTCCAGCATCCAAGGCCTCCCTCTGCTCTTGCCGGGAGCAAAGAAACAGAGAGGATGGAAAGGAGACAGATCTTCACAAGATAAGTGACCTGGGAACATGAGGTATCTCATTGGGGGAGCTGCTTGAGTGGTTTGAAGCAGGTGGCCTGTTCCATCACTAAGCTCCCCCATGGCCTTCTCCACCCTGAGATAACTCATGTTTACTTAACCCGTGCATTTGCCCACACATTAAATTAGCGAACGCCTGGACGAAAACTGGGAGCGATTTGCATTTAAGATACGAGATTCACTCCTACGAATCCTCGAGTTACAAATGGAATGGGCAGGCTCCATTTCATTCGTAACTCGAGGATTTACCTGTATTATTTCTCTCTCAGAATCAATTCCTGACACATCTTTGTGTCAGATCAAAAGTTAAGGGGAAATGGTAAAACGTTTACAATGTTGTGATTATTACAAAATTTTTAACTGTTTTTGTCCCTTTTCTATGTTTAACCTTGTGATGTAACCTGCCTAGAGTTATCTTGATATTTGGGGTTGCAAATAAATAAATGAGATGAAATGTTAAAAGTGATTAAATGTTGATACATACGATAAAAGGTTTTATCTTCTTATCTGATGTTTGATCTGCTTCAGTGGAAAAACTCCTAGATTGCATTGTATTGTATTGTATTGTGTTAAAATGGGGTTGATGGACTCTCCTCCTGCTGTTGTAATGGTTTTTTTTAAAATTTGTTTTTGTTTTTCAGCAGTTAGCAGTTATTTTGTTTGGAGAAAGAACTGAGCGATTTTCAATAAGGGCAACCCCTCCCCCCAACCCCAAAGCTTGAAGAAAACATTAAAATAACTGAGAAAAAAAACACATCCAGCCTTTGACTCTTTAAAAGAGAAAGATTGTTTGACTCTCCCTCAGTGGCCTTCATATGTTATAGCCTTTTAATAAGATCTCATTTGATTTGTCCTTAATTAATTCCAATGCTTTAACTGGATTAGACCGTTGAAAGAAAAATAGAATAATAAAAATTTATTCAGGCCAGATTTTGGTGGCCTTTTTAAAGGGAAGATGCTGTTAAACTTACATTTTTCTTCTGAATACAGAGTTTGTAGGGGGGGGGGGTCCTAGTTCTGAGTAGGACATCTATCTGTCGACCTAATTTAAATTTGAATGACTAATTCCTTCCTTGTTAATGTTGGAAAAACGTTTCACGTGAGGCTCTTCTGATGGAAGAAGCATTTCCACATGTATTGGTTTTTTAAAAAAAATGTTAAACTCATAATGCCATGTTGCCATGTCTCATTTTTCCTTCATGTTCTAAAACAATTTTTTTTTGTTAATCCAAAATATAGTGTTGCTGAGCTTTTGGTGTTGTATGCTTGTGTGAGAGAGAGGGAGAGAGAAACCCCATTTATTCTCAACAAGTAAAAATGTGAGAAAGGATTATTTTGTCCTCACTTAGACAAAACCCATCTTACTTCTGGCAAATCATAGTAGTATGCCAAATGTTTTGAACTAAAAACAATTTGAACTCAAAATGGTTTCATCTACCCGCTCTGTTCTGAATTGAAAACATTTTGAGCTTAAAATGGGGTATTTCCAACTTTATTGGAAATGATCCAATGGTGGTTTTTTGACCAAGGAAAAATTCCTGTTTTGAACACTGTAAAGAGGATTGATTCATGAGCTAGCCAAGACTTCATCAGAGCAGAAACTTGTGCTTAACAACCAGATGCAATTTGGCATCTGCTGCAGTAATTGTGGCAAACAATCATGATTTCAAGTCTGTCAGCAAAGTTTCTTTGAAAAACTTACTTTCTCTAAAAAAAAACCCCATGTTTCTACTCCCTTGATTCGGTATTCATCATTCAGAGGTAACAGAAGACAGAATTAACCACATTCCCTAGACCAGGGCTTTTCAACCAGTGGTACGGGTACCACCTGTGGTACATTGGCACCTGGCAGGTGGTACGCGACCATCCTAGAAAAGTGGTAGCGGGGGAGGGGAATGAGCTGAGCCGGTGGCAGCACTGCACAAGCCTGAGCGAGAGATGGCTGGAGCTGCAGGGCGGTCAGGGCTCAGCGGAAGCGCCAGGATCAGCGCCAGGCTCCAGCTGGAGCTCGGCGCTGATCTTGGCGCTTC